AGAAGGAAGACATAAGATAAAACTTCAGTGTATACCACCATATTCTTTTTATGGCAGCAGTGCTGGCTGCTTGCATTCTCTAAAAATATGCAAATCAAAGCAGCAAATTATGTGAAAAAGCCAGTTCATGTGAGCAGGTACAGCTCAGGGATCAGTGACAGAGGAACACTAAACACACTGAGGTCCTTTCTTCTTTCAAAGTGAATGGGGTATAGAGAAGAAAGACTTATTTTCAAGTAAGAAGAAAGCTTGATCCTGTATGCTGCAAGCAGAAAGCACACAAAAACCACTCTACACACACAACCCCATATAATTAGAACTGTCCTTTCCTCGCATGATTTGAGAACAAGAGTCTTATAGCGATAGACACAGCAAAACTATAAATCCTTATTCAGAAGCTGTCATTTGGTTATCTTCTCTCAACCTTTAACATTGTCACCCAAGCAACGTAGCACCCTCTCATCTTTGCTCTTTGCACCTTTAAATGATCCACTGCATTACACTGTATTTTTCTTGTGTTAGCTGGAAAATTTTTCCCATTTTATAGACTTCAGTACGAGGAACAAAAAAAAGGACATTTACAAAATTACAAAATTAATTACTTTTTTGTAAGCAATGAAGTATCAGTGATGATAATAGATTCCCAAAAGAAATGCTAGCTATGAAAGAGTAATTCTTTCTCAATAGTCATGGATGTTATAACCAGGAAGTCAGGCAAGAATAATAAACAGGGATAATTTGCCATTAGCTCAGTGTACATTGGGTTCCACCAAGCCTTCAAGAACAGCTCATGTGTGGCTCTAGGTTGGAGGCAGCTGGAAGACCACTCTCTCTTTTTCCTCTGCACTCCATCCGTAATTGGCATTGAATCCAAATTAAAACCAACTTTGAAGAGTTTCACTGCCTGGTTAAAACTGCTCTGTTAGAAAAATGCAAAGGGTCATTTCAAAGCAATTCAGTGACTTTAATTAAAGTTTCCTCCATGGGAATAGTACATGCAATGCTATACCCTTTAAACATTCAGAGGCAAGACCTAGTCCTTAAAAATTATTTTTAAACACTACGCAGATGTCAAAAGCAAGACTAAAAATCCAAATCACTAGATCCCACAGAAAGAGTGGCATAGAAGGACATTTTAAACAGGTGTGAGTATTTAACAGCCCATATACAGACTGGTTTTATTGCAAAAGGAAAATTATTTTGAAGCCTGAGCTACTCAGTAAGTCAAAAAAAGAAGAAATTCTCAGAATTCCTGAAATCTATGCATCAGATTGACTCCTGCCCATCCTCACCCCTATGTTTCACACTGTTTTTTGTTTGGCTTCCTCCATCAAGACCTAAATTGAGTACTAAGGAGAAAAATCAACCTCTGTTAAGAGTTGAAATGAACAGCTGCACCTATAACTGGGTATTTAGAGGTCTAGAAAAATATACAATAATTTCTATGCAACAAACATATGTAAATTAAGGTTTTACAAGGTACCTGGCATGGAGTTTGTTGCTCTTCCCATTTTGCGGAGGGTACTCTTCTATAACATCCTGTACAAAAGGCGGCTGCTGCCGGTGCGTTCTGGTGTATGGCAACGTTCCCATATGGCTGAACATATCACAAGACCTAATGGGAATTGTCCCCTTCTTCTTCCTGGGGAGAGTGCCATGGATAGAGATGTCTTGAAAGGAGTCTGAGCGATGCTCAGTTGGCGAAGGTTTGGTGGTCAGAAGGTCCATGGAAGAAGCTAAGGAGAACTGGTGGTTCACTGGGCCATTTCTGGGAAGACTTGAAAATTTTCCTGCAGCTATCATTTTTGGTTCTGGAAAAAACAAAACCAATATTTATCACCATGCATCAATTGATAGCAATCATCAAAGCCCCCACTTCAGCAGAAGTTAAATAGCATGACTAACAAAGGCATCTAGAACTGAACTTCCGCTTTGCTTTGAGGCAGGCAAATACCTCAAGACGTAGCCTGTGTTATAATCCAGTCACATTGCTCCCAACTGCACATCAAGCACACATGTGTATTAACTCTCATACATGTGTAAAGTCACAACAAAACACAACCAATCTGGACACGTGTGCAAGAGCAGGCCCTGAGCAATTCTCCATTTTTATCCACAAAGTTCCTCTTTCTTGCTCCTTCACATCCTGTGAAGACTCAGACGTCAACTTAGAATCATTAACAAAAAGCAAAGTTTAAAGAACATTTTGACAAAAAATAAAGGACACTCTACAGCTTGGTTTGGAAGAATCTGTTTCTAAACCCAGTAGTTGGCACACTGCAAGAAAAAAAACCTGTTTCTGAAGAGTCTTGCTCAAGTAATAAATCTAGCAGAGAACTGGTCACATATTTCTAACAGGCTGTAAACTAAAGGGCTCTACCCAAGAGATAAGGGCAGGAGCGGATTACTGGAATTCCCTTCTTCAGCATGCACAGGCCACTGGCTCAAATTGTTGTTGACATTAGGGATTTGCATAGCTGTCAGTCTCTTGTACAATCAATTATAGCCTGCCGCACAGTGCGGGTTTTTCTGTTACCACGAGCAAAAAACTTGGCGAGACAAACACTTCAGGCACATTAGCAGATTGCTGTTCCGTTTCTCCAAAAATGCTGCCTCATGCTCACTTCATAGTGTTGTATTACAGAAGACAGGCTGCCTCATCCTATCTGGTTATATTAACCTGCAAAAGCCACTCTACGGGACATACACACAGACCTAAGGGTCAACCAGTCCTACGTTATTTAACCTAGGTGGTAGTCAACCAGGTGCCTCCTGTAAAAACTGGAAAAGCCACAGGAGCAGCAGAGACAGATATGAAATCAGAGAGCAGAAGAGCTTTTGGAAATAACAGTTATGGGCAGGGAGAATCTGTTCTGACCTTGGTCAAGTTTCATGCTGAAAAATAAGAGTAGCACCCTGAAGGCCCAGCAGCCTGGAAGTCAGCTGCTTACAGCTGCACAAGAATTCCTCTGGTTTGGGGGAACGCATAGGTGCTGCAAAGAAAACAGAGCTAGCTCTATAGCCCTCCTGCTCCTTTCTCCAGCCTTAGCACCACAGGTACTATCAAAGCGTTGCTGCACTGAAGCTACTGCTACTTCTACTCAGAGGTTATCGTAACGGGCTTCGTTTTCCAGTAACACTAAAGCTGGTATCAAATTTATGGAAGAATTCTGCTACTGCCAGGCAGCTGCGTTGCAGAGATTCACAGGCTGCATCAGGTTTCAACAACAAATGCCTTCCCACTTCTCCCTTATTGAAGGTCCCACAATAAATACTCGTTAATTACAGATGATAAACAATTATTTAATTTTTAAAAAATCTTGAATTGCCAAGGCTCTGTCTGACCTACTATGTACTACCTGTAGAAAAGCCTCTCTCTGCCCAGGGAGAATCTGTTTGACTTTGGTCAGGTTTCTTGTTGCCAAGAGTAGAAAAGAGTTGAGAAGTTTAGTAAGAGCCGGCATTTTTAGTTACACAGATCCAACTAGAATTCAAAATCCTAAAGAAACCAAGCCACACTCTCACAAAAAATAATCTTCCACAAATTATCATATGGGCTCTTGATGTGAAATACTAAATCACCTCTCCATTTATCATGTGGTTTGAGGACACAGTTTCTGCTGACTAGTATTAAAAATATCACATAATTGTTTCCAAAATAATAAAAAATGTGCTGTAAAGTCAGTTTTGCATTACAATTGTTCTAAGCAAAAAAACTCATCCAGAGATAGGAAGCTCTAAAATGCAAATGCTTACCACAAAGCTACAACCTCCTATAGCTAAAGCAAACTGACAGAGCTTGTTTCCAGTAAATTCAGCTTTATTATTAGAGAGGAATGATAAAAATTACCTCAAACAATGGGGGGGTCGGGGGGGAGAATTTTCTTAGAATTCACACATTCATTTGAAAACTCAACTTTATGCGTTTACCATAGTAATGCAACAAACACCAAGAGGCTGAGAAAGTGGAGGCTAGCTTGCTCATATTGCACAAACACGTTGCTCTCCTTTTGGGGGTGCTGAGATTCTGTCCTTAACAATTGCACTTTCTGACTGCTTTATAAAAAACACCTCCAAATCTCTGAATTCTGACTTTAAGTGCAGGTTACCCACTCAGATTTTCCTTAGGCTTTCCTGCAAGATTACCACTACGCTGAAATGGAACACATGACATTTCATGTAAATGGTATTCAAAACCAAGCAGGTATAAATATCACCAACGAAAGCTTCAGTTTAGTAGTCGATACCAGATGAGTCTACGATAGGCTTACAATGACAGTAAACTGTCAACCACATCGTGTTTGAGAATCCATAAAGCAAGCTGAGAATTCCCTCTCCTAAGCAAATCCCAGGATAATTATTAGAGCAATCCAGCAGGTTTCCAACCCAACAGCCTGAGAATTTTCAACAAACAGTGACCCTCTGAAGTACAGCATTTTCCATTTAACCTCCCCTAAGAAGCCCTTCTTAAGAAAAGAAACCAAATGCCCTCAGTTATGTCCTAATCATTTCACCTTTTAAGTCATGCTCTGTTAACATCCCATGATTTACAAATTCAATACCCAATTCTCAAATTCATACTTGAGTTTTGTTTTGAGGAATGAAGTTAGAGGTCCAAAGTTAGTAAGAAATACCTACATTCAAGAGCTTGCAAGATATTTAGCCACAATTATGTGTGTACAGAAACTGTGATAATGTTTCAAACAATCCTCCTTGCAAAACCCCTCAAAAAAAAAGAAAAAAAACAAACCAAAAAAGCAACAAAACCCCAAAACCGACAGGTCTGCTAACTTCTACCCAGAAATTCATTCTAACCACATCGTGTTTGAGAATCCATAAAGCAAGCTGAGAATTCCCTCTCCTAAGCAAATCCCAGGATAATTATTAGAGCAATCCAGCAGGTTTCCAACCCAACAGCCTGAGAATTTTCAACAAACAGTGACCCTCTGAAGTACAGCATTTTCCATTTAACCTCCCCTAAGAAGCCCTTCTTAAGAAAAGAAACCAAATGCCCTCAGTTATGTCCTAATCATTTCACCTTTTAAGTCATGCTCTGTTAACATCCCATGATTTACAAATTCAATACCCAATTCTCAAATTCATACTTGAGTTTTGTTTTGAGGAATGAAGTTAGAGGTCCAAAGTTAGTAAGAAATACCTACATTCAAGAGCTTGCAAGATATTTAGCCACAATTATGTGTGTACAGAAACTGTGATAATGTTTCAAACAATCCTCCTTGCAAAACCCCTCAAAAAAAAAGAAAAAAAACAAACCAAAAAAGCAACAAAACCCCAAAACCGACAGGTCTGCTAACTTCTACCCAGAAATTCATCTGTTTGCCTATCTCCTGGTGTACTATGTCTCCTTCATAAATGTAAACCAAGAACTGCAACAATTAGCTTAGTAACAAAAGTCCTGCCAAACCATCCATACATTTTTCTCATATTGAATGTAAGCACTGCAAAGAGGGAGCCTCTTCAGCTGAAAACTCTGGAATGTCTCAAATACTTTAGCATATGATTCAAAGACTTTACTAGATACAGAAACCCTGAAAATTTTACTCCCTAAGAGACAGTGTGCTTTGAACATTTGCCATCATACAGTCAACAAGGAAATGGTAGAAATTATAGCAGAACGATAGCCCCAAAGGAACCGAAATGTAACTGTACACGTTCCCATTTGTCAAAATGCAGCATCTAACAAAACACAACACTTGGGAGCCATGCAAATTTCCTCTAACTAGATGCAAACAAGATTTGACTCATGCCAATACAATGTTAAATGCTAGGTGAATTTGTATTTATATAATAGAGTGGCATTTCTCTTTCTCCAGTCTGTAATTTGGGAAAGTATATTGAAATGGAATTGGCAGGAGTCAGACTGGAAATTCAGAGAATTGGAGGCATGAAAGGTTTCCAGGTAACTTCTAACAAGTCCTATATTTTTGTTACAAATGAGGGTGAGGGAATACAAATGAAGAAGTCTTTAAAATCAGCTTGGCATTTAGGAAAACAGTACGAGATTGGACACAGAATAAAATACATATCTGGTGGGCAAGTCCAAACGTGCACCAAGCTCTAATCTGATGGGGTGTGCATCTCTTCACATCATTGCTCAAAACAAAAAAGAACCATATGAACAATGGAACAAATAACTTTGCTTCCCCAAAATGACATAAAAAAATCCTTCTACTCTTGCCCTCTTGGCTTTGGGATGCAAATACAAACTTTCTGGCTCAGCTTGTCTTCATAAGAACTTTCTGATGTTCACACAATCTGAAGAAGTGTTCTGACGGTTCATTCAGCCTGACCTCTGTCAAGAGTCAAGAACAAGTGTCCCTTCCATACCACAACATGACATAACTGGTGCCAATGGCTGCCACTTTGTTGTTTCAATACGTTGGAGGGGGAAGGAAGGAAACCTCCAGTTTGGCCTCAGAGATTCACAAATGGCTGGTGTAACAAACAGCCTGAGGCTGTATATGGTCATGCTAATGGAAACCTCATGAAAGGAAATAGAAAAGCAATTTCAGAGTTCCAAATGAGACCCTCGAGTATATCTAAACCAGTTTTGGACACTAAAAGATTCACACTTCTCTCAAAATCTTAGTGATCTGCAGTCCGTGTGACTCTCCCCGTTAGATCAAACTCTCTGAAGTCTATACCTGGTGCTACATCACATCACCAACAGTACAAGACTTTACTCCAAGTCTTACTGTATCTTTATCATTATATATGCTACCAAGCTAAGAGGGCTTGAACAGGGTTTAATACACCCAACCGAAGAACAACTGCCTTATGTTCTCAGGTC